TCATGCGTTCTCCAGTCTGGCCAGTGCACAGAGCTTGTTTCCAAGGGAGAAGCAACGGGCAGAGTCAGGCAGGTGAGGGGCGCCTCGTGCCCAGGGGTCCCGACCAGCAGTGGAGTCTTAGTTGCGGCAGCACCCGCCCACAAGGCTGGGTGCTCCTTTGCCGTTGGAGTCAGCAGCAGATCTCTCTGATTGTAACAGCTGAGAATGCCTCTTGGCCCTGACAGAGATGACATGGGGCTTCACTCTCAGTTAAGGACCAAGGAGATAGGGAATGGCTGATATTCTTTGGTTGTTCATCCCTTTGACTTCTGCATTAGACACAATTAGGCTCAGCTGTAGTCAATAGAAAATCCAACCCACAATGGTGTAACCAAATGATCTCTTTCCACTTTAACCTGAAAGGAGTCCAGAGCCAAGTATTGGTGGTACATGCCTATAACACCAACTACTCAGGAGGCTGAGGTAGAAAGATCAAAGTTCAAGGTCAGCCAGAGCAAAAAGAAGTCCCAGGGCAGGCTACCTAGAGCTTGAATAGTCACTGCATTTCTGTGATATTACCAGGCACCCAGGAACTGTTTGCACACTTTTGTTTTTGTTTTGCTTTGTTTTGAGACAGGATCTCAATATATAGTTCAGGCTGGCCCAGGCTGGCCCAGGCTGAATCTGGAGTGAACGTGAAGCAATCCTCCTATCTCAGCCTCCCAAGTGTTGGGATTACAGGCGTGCACCATTACACCTGGTTTATCATGGTCCCAAGATGACTGCTCCATGTTCATCATTGCATCTGCCCTGCAGGCAGTAAGAGGAAGGTAGGCAGGTGTCTTCTGAGACAGCTTCGCCTTTAAAGAGCTTCCCACAACCCCTCCCTAGAAATTTCTGCTTAAATTTGACATGGCCATCCCTGGCTGCAAGGCAGACAGGGAAATGTAATCTTTTTATCAGGGCACGGTGCCATCAAGCTGAGGATTATGCAGCCAGGCAAAAAGGAAGAATGGCTTAGGAGGGCAATGACCAGAAGCAGTGATAACCTGAGCAGTCTCCCTACAAGATCTTTTAGATGAAGCAAGACAAACCTGCCAAGGAGCAATGGCCAGGGAGGCTTATTAAACATGGATGCTCACCCGGCTGTGGTGAGGTACACCTTGGACCCTCAGACGAGTGTTCTTACTAAATTTCTCCAAGAGGCTGTTCCTTACCTTTGTCCACTAATGGGTTGTTGAAACCATGATCAGGTTTTTATTTTATCTCTTGGAAGGAGATTAATTCAATCACATATTAAGTGGTTAAAAAACGATGCATCTGTGTACCCTACCCACCCTAGCTCCTCTCCCCTGACACTCACAAAAGGTCAGCGAGGCAGGTCACGCCCATAGTGAGAATCTCTTCTATTCACTTGCTATCAAGCCTAAGTGCCAGCACTGGGTCAACCGCACCGGCCTTAGGCCCAGGTGCCTCTTCCAATGCCAGCTCCTCAGACAGACATGAAAGAGTAGGAAACATGTGCCACCTTGATGTGGGCCTCAGTGTGCCAGCCGCTTTCTCTCTCCAGAACTCCTGAGCAGTTCTGGGGCACTGAAACCAGTGTGGGACAAAGACAGGATACAGGATAGGGTCTGTCCCCAGAACTGGGCCACCCAGATGTTTCACCTCCTTCACCACAAAGCCACAACTGCAGCTTCGGCCAGAGGTATTAATAAACCTTGCTGGTAAGTTTGGGTCCAGCAGACAGCAACCCTGTGACCTTCGAGTTGACTCTGTCTCCCTTTCTCTCCCCACCCACACTTCTCAGCCTAAGGACTGAAAATCTGGCTTTCTCGTAATTTGCTTCACTCAGGGAATAACACTGCTAGTAAAAGGTAGACACCAAGGAGGCAGCAGCTGGGGAAGCGAGAACCCACAGAGCTCTCAGGTCAAGGTGAGTGACAACGATGCTGTTTTGTGCCTATTTCTTGCCACACAGGGCCTTCTTGTAACTTGGGCTTCCTCAGGGGGCATTGATGGCCCTGATTAGAGTGGTAAACTGCAGATCCCTGCAGTGCCACCCTGAGACTTTTTCTTTTTTTAGACAAAGCTGGCCTCAAACTTACAGCAATCCTCCTGCCTCAGCCTCTTGAATGCTGGGATCACAGGCATATGCCACCACACCTGGCTCTCTGTGCTCTTTTAGACTATGTCCCTTACACACAGGATGCCAGAACTCTCTGAGTAAACAGCACTAAGCTGGCTGCCAGGACCTGCAGCCCTCTTCCCCAGAAACTTCTTCCCAAGGGTGGACTTGACTGTTGATACACGTGAGGTGTAATTAAAATGTACAGTGGATGTTTACATTTTTAAAATGACAGTAATAGACACATTACCACTAATCCCTTTCAAAGCACTCCCCTCATGTTGAACACATTTATCCCACAATTCTTGCCACTTTCTGAAGCAGTTTTGGATGTCCTCTTTCAGGAGGGTCTTTAGTTGCACTATCATGACTGCCTCAGTGTCCCTAATTCATTCAAAACATTTACCTTCTGTGGTCACTTTTTACTTTGGGGGAGAGCCAGAAGTTATACAGGGCCACACCTGGTGAGTACAGTGGATGGGTACATCCCGTAATGTTTTTATGAACTTTCCTTTCCATGAAGTAGTACTTGGCCACTTCATCACCGGATTTTTAGACCTGACTTACAACTTGTACATATTTGGATGTGTGGTATGGAGCCTCTATTTCTGCTTCTGACTTAATCCCTGACAGTGTTTGGGGCTGACCTGACCCACTAACATATTTTGTTGGTCTGCAGACTATTTTTAAAATAGGGAGATTTCAGGGCTAGCTGTGTGGCCCAAGGGTAGACGGCTTGCCTAGCATGCACCAGGCCCTGGATTCAATCCCCAGCACCACAAAAAAGCTGGTGGGGAGGCTTCATGCAAAAATTCTGACTTTAGCTTTTCTTGACCAATTGGAAGACAAGACAGTCACACAGCCTGAATTCCTACATGGCAGCGTGGCAAGAACTGAAGGGCAGCTGTGCATTTGTGCTGCAGTTCGCCATGCTCCCCACCACTCCCAGGTGTCCTATGTCCAGGGAATTTCATGTACTCAGGGCCCACCGGGCCTCGAGGGAGCTCAGTGAGCGTGGCTGAGTGACCCAGCACCCTGGGGGGCATTCCTGGCATGAGTAGGATGTGGGGATGATAAGAAGTCCAAGATCAAAGCTCTGGAAGTTCCAGTCCCTGCTTGTGGCTGATTCTGCGATTTCCCCACGTGGAGGTGAGGCTGGCACTGGCCTTTGCCCCAACCTCCACTGCCACCTTTACCAGGCTGATCAGAAAGGAGAAGTGGAACTGCCTGGGGTCACTATAAAGTGGAGAATGAAAGGGGAAGCGCAGTCCTCGTCCAGAGACGGGAGCAGTGCACGTGGGTGCTGCATTTGTCGCTCTGGCCCTGAGTGTCGCGCAGAGGATGTCTGGCAGAGTTCATGTGCCTTCTGCGGGGGTTTCTGGGGAAAATCACAGTGCTACACCGGGGGCAGGCGGGACAACACTCTGAAAGGAAGCTGCTGGGCTCCGGCAGGGTTAGCAGCAAAGAAAGCGGGACCTGGAGTTCTGAGTCCAGGCACTACAGGGAGAGGCTAGCTTCTGTGCTCTGTCTGTTAGCAGAGGGGTAGAAAAGAGCTGGACACTGGAAAAGCCAGGCCCTAAAGGAAACTGATAGGAGATCCTCTTTGCTCCCATCCCAGTCCACACCGACTCTATCCGGGAAGAGGAACTCCAGCCATCTTTCTGTTGGGAGAACAAAGGTGCAAAAAGTTCAGAGTGATAGGAAGAAAAGCCAGTGCTCAGGGAAGGTCTTCTGGGCTCTCAATTGTTGGACTCAGCCTAGTTCCCCTGCCCTGGATACTCATGGGCCATGGCTGCGCAGGCGGGAGCCCCAGCTGTTGCTGTGTGCTTCCAGAGGCCTTTGGGTTGGACTCCTCCCTATGCAGCCCACACAGATGGCAGGTGCTCATGCTAGGAGCAGATTTTCCAGGGCTCTGGAGCTGAATAGTCACAATACCCAATGCTGGCAGCATCTCAGAGGACAGGAGAGAACTGGGTGGGAGAGGGCAGAGCTGAGATGCAGCCTCAGAGCAGCCAGAGCCACAGGCCGGCAAGTGGAGGCTGTGCTGCTTAAGGGGTGACGCTGAGGTGGCTGCTGAAGAGGCTGGACCAGAAGCCTGCCACAGTTATCCCTGCTGCTTTGGTCTCCAGATGCCTCTGCGAAGGCCCTGAGGTGTCAGGCCCCACTGCAGCCAAGGGTGTGGCTTTGGGCAGCATTATAGGTGGGGCTATAGGGTGTAGGTCCACAGGCCCACAGCCCAGGGACCTCTGAGGAGCAGGGGGACCTCAGAGCCGGGGTACATGGAGTACATGGGTTTCAAACTCTGCCCAAACTGGAGACAAACTAGAGTGACTTGAGGCACGTGAGATGCTCAGATGGCAGCCTGCTGAGCCCTGTGGAGACAGGTAGTCAAGTGCTCATTACCACTGCTCATTAAGAGGGTGACATCTTCCCGTAAGGCACCTGTACTTCTAAGCTATCTGCCACCAGGGGTGTGCAGAACTGCCTTTGTGTCACTCAGACACTTGGCCTGGCTGGCTGGGAGCTGTGTGAGTGGGAGAGAGCAGGGCCCACCTGGCTTCCATCTGTGCAGATGGCATTTACCCTGGGCCTTCTCCCCAATGGAGAGCAGCCATTCACAATCTAGAAAGCACGTGGCCATGAGGGATGGAAAGATGGGAGTCACAGCAAGATCTGAGCAGGAAAATCAAGACTCCCAAAGGCAGGATTAAAGATGCTTTGAGAAAATAAAAAAGAGCTCGGCTTCCCAAGTTCATGAACAAACCATGGAAAAGAAGGGGTATTAGCAGAGTCTGTGAGCTCTTTAGTGGGTAATTGAGGCCAAGGACACAAAAAAGTTCCCAGCCCCACAGAATGTAGAGTTTCTAGGGACAGAGTGAAACAGGGAAGCTGGTTTCTTTTTAAATATTTATTTAGAAAAATAAGCCAGCCTTGGTCTTTTCCCTGTGTGGGGTCACTTGGGCTTGGTGTGTGATGTCTCTGTTTGCAGCTCCATCCACACAGGGGTCCAGCACATCCTGGTTAGCTCCATACCACTGGGGGCCTCAGGCCCCTCTGGCTGCTACAGTCCTTGTGCTCTGTCCTTGTCCAGGTCTCTGCCACCAGGTCTCCCGTGGAGACAGGGCAGTCCGGCCACAGTCTGTGCGTGGCTGCAGAGGCCACAGGAACGGCGGGGGTTGGGGACTCTGCTCTCCTTGCCGGAAGCTCAGGGCTGGAAGCGTGGGGAGCTGACGTGGGACTGGTGGAAGGCGTGGGTGCTGTACAACACCTCAGGGGGCGACGGGGTGCTGGTGGCCAGCACAGAGCACAGGGGCTCATGGCTGCTCAGCACTGACGTGAAGTACTTCAGCTCCTCTGTGAGCTGCTTGATCTCCTTGCGCAGGGCTGCGTTCTGTTTCTCTAAGTCCTCACTCTCCTGTAAAAGGGATGACAGCCATCAGTGATCAATGTCAGGGAAGGTGGCAGAGTTGGCCAGGCAGGGAGAGGGGAGGGGAAGCCAGGTTTGTTTTGCACAGCTGTGGAGAAGGGCATCAGGGAATTTGTGTGTGCATGTGCATATGAGCTTGTATGCAGGCACGGGTACATCAACATAAGTACATATGTGTGTGTGCATGTGTATGCCTAGAGAGTAAGGAGAATCATATGAAACTGTGGATAGTTGTCTATTTTAACCTGTAAGAGTAGCAGTTTCACACAGTTCAACCCGTCTTAGCCCATGTTTCTATTGCTATCACAAGATGGCCAAGGCTGGGTAATACAGCACATAAAAAGTAGGCTGACTTAACTTGCAGAGCTGGAGGTTCAAGGATGTGGCACCAGCACCCGTGTGGCTTCTAGTGAAAGCCACATACTCCTCCACGCTTGGTGGAGAAGAGAGAAGGCAAGAGGGTGAGTGGGGAAGAGGCTTGTGTGTGAGAGAGAGGGGAAGTGCTAGTCTCTCTTTACAAAAACCATGCTCATGGTAACAGGATCAGTCCCGCAAGAAAGGCATTAATCCCTCGTAAGAAACTGATCACCTCCAGAAGGCACCACCTCCTCTCCACACTGTTACTACATGGGGGACAAAACCTCCACATGAGTTCTGGTAGGGAAAAACCATATGCAAACCTTTCCAAGGTGTATGTGTGAATGTGCTTTTTTTAATACATGTGTGTACAAGCGTATCTGTGTGTTGAAAGTGGCAAGCGTGTACCAAAGAAAATGGGCTGGCAGGCCAGGGCCTGAGAAAAGTTGTTTGTGAGAATATTTTATACCAACTTAATTTCTGTCTGCTCTGGAATACAATGTGTTCTCCAGGTGCCTCTGGGTCTGCAGTTAGCCTTACAGATAGGGCTAGTCTCTCTTTACAAAAACCATGGTTAACTGTTTGCTTCCCCAGACTCTAAAACACTTAGGGTCTTCATAAATATTAAAAGATCAAAGGCAGCCATGGTGCTCTATTCCACTCTGCCCATCCAAGGGTGGGTTTTACATGTAGACCCCATACCATCACCCTTGGAAATGTGTTCTATAATGTTCCTGAAACCTAATACATATTATGTTTAGTACCCATTAGCACTATATATAGTACCCTAGATATACCATGTTTTTGCTGTACCTATGATAAAATTAAACTTATAAACAAGACACAGTAAGAGATTAGTGATAATTAATAGTAAAATAGAACGATTATGCTGTACTGAATATGCTGTGCTGAAATTATTTAAAGCTTATGAAATTATTTAAGCGTTGGTTATTGCTGGAATTTTTCATTTCATATTTTCAGACCACTATTGACCAAAGCTGACTAAGACCACAGAAAGGAAAATCTTGCGTGGGAGGGGCTCTTATACTCCCAGTGTGACGGGAGCTAGACACACAAAGCCCCCTTTTCTCCAGAAAAACCTTTGTCCTGTCGCTCAGGAGAAACTTCAGATTCGTGTTCGTCAGAAATGCTCAGGATAAGGAGCAGGGATTCCAGATCACATCATTTATTAATCAACAGTCGCACTTGCGTAATTAGGAATTCCTGGAAAACAATCCCTCCTTCAAAAAGCCCAGGAAACTGCATTTCCCAAGTGATTTTAAGGCTCATGTTCTGTGACCTGATCAGGGAGACCCACTGGGCTAAATACTGGCACCCACCACGGAAGGCGAAACGGCACTGCTGAGGCAATTTAATGCATTTTAGCTCAAAAAAAACCCTAGTATTTGTAGACCAGGTCTTACGTTTTGAGTTCTAGTTGGTGTAGGTCAGCATTTGCAAGACTCTCCATGTCATCAGAATTAATTTGAGGGCTAGTTAAAAAAATATAATCACAACCCTTCCTGGTATCTAGAGGCTGGAATTCAGCGGGTTTGTGATTTGGGGGGAGGGGCTGCAGCGTCCAGAAATCTGAGTTTTTTTAGTGTTTCTGGTCATTCTCATGACCAGGTGAGTTTGGAAAACCTTGGCTAAATACGACATTAAATTTATTTTAATTATTCAGCTACTTATTAAGTGCCTAGTTAAATGCCTGGCACATCATACGAACGCAAACATTTGTAGACTGACTGACTGCCTGACGGCCTGATAACAACTGATTCCATGAAGAAGTTGACTCAAAAATACGGTGGGCGGCGAGCACCTGTAACATAACTCGACATTTAAATTTGCTCTACACAATCCATCAGGATCGTGAGCAGCAGGCTGATGAGACAGCTGAATGGGCCTTGCCGGTTACGTTGCCAGTCATCGGAACCCAGGAAGCCGGGGGTTTCTGTTTTCAGCGGCGGAGGCGCGGAGGGCCCGGCCGGACCCGTGAGGCCAGCGCCGTCCCTTGCGCAGGACGGACCGGGACGTGCTCAGCCGCAGCCTGCCGGCTCCGAGCGCGGCTTTGAGCTCGCCCGGGCCGCTGCGAAGGAAAGCCGGTCTCTGGGCCGGGCAGGGGCCGCGGTCCGCCCGCGCCGG